GAGCCCATTCCTTTGACCTTGGCTTTTCGGACAGCACAGCGTTATCTTATAACTGTCCTTGAAGTGAGCTGCTAAGCAGAGGAAAATTTGCTTCTTTTCTTTTTAACCCTTGCCTTGCCTGTTACTTTTCTTGGAGTGAATGAATATTTATTTTTAAAATTCTGCCTCAGCCCTTCTTAGGCCAGATCTCACCTTTCTTTTCTAGTAATGCAAGTGAGGGCAATGTGTTCTTCACAGCAGCAAAGCCATCCTTGTTCATACACGTTGTAGAGTTGCCCTTCTCTGTTTGCCAATTTGAAGGGTTACCCGACATTAATCTGGGAAGGAAAAAAGAGCTTCCTCCTAATCAGAACAGTAATGAACACTAATAACCCATTCTCCTTCTAAGAGCCAAATTTTAAAAAGTCCAGTAACAATAAATTAACAAAAAAGATAAACTCATCATTTCCCCTCCACATATCTTTAGCTAACCCTTGAACCCAAAGAGGATTTTGCCAATGGCTCTCTAGGAATTGGAGTTGTCACACCACTCTCCTGTTGCCAGGAAATGAGGAGAGCCGTCCTCATCCACATCTGCAGTACCTAGAATAGCCCCCTCTGGCTCTCCAGAGATTGATTCATTAGGCAGGGTTGTGTTTAGGTGACGCCCACACACGAGAGCATTCACAGGAGCCATCATTTCTCAGTGAATGCGGTCCTGTAAATGCTGGCGATCCTGTAGCAGTGCTGATTAGCAAGTTGCTGCAACACCTCCGCATATTTTTTTTTTCTTGCTTCTCACTCCCCTGCTTTGTCAAAATGAACAAGAAGGAAGCATGATTGGGCTGTGCACCGAGGCGGCAAGGAAGCCCTGGATGACCCTCTTAACAGGTTCATTTCTTCTTGAGCAAGCTTGTTAAAAGTTAGCATTGCTTAACACAGGCTAATTGGCTTCCCTTTCATTTTCTTCCATCCAAGTTTCTATCGGGAATCTTCCTCAGAATAAAATGCCAAGTTAGTTAGGCACTTTCTTATTTTAGTCTTGAGATTACGTTCTTGCTTCAGGAAAGAGTCAAGTTTAATTTTACTTCCAAATCAGTCCCTTCTCGTTACTCTAATCAACAAGACTTTTCTTGGCTGGGAGGTAGGGGTAGGGGAGGAAAGGAAGGGAGGAAAAAAAGCAAGAAAAGCAACCTCCTAAACATCAACAATCATTTTTCTTGCATGTAAGATTATCAACTACTATAGATATAAACATTGTGGTCTAGCACTTCTTTATTTATGACTGTGGGAATGAAAATAACTTGGTACTTAACCAATTATTTTTAAGAGGTGGTAGCACAGTATTTCTTTGAATGTCGAAGAACAGAAGTAGAGCCTTTAAGAATTTCTTCCATCTGCCAGCCTGAATACTGACTGGGTAGAGATTTAAACAGCATGCATGCGATAGAATTGGCCTCATTGCCCCATCTGTAGAACACAAGCTGGTGAAATCCAGTGTGTCTGTGTGACATGCAATTAGCTCAATCCTGTTTCTCCAGCCAGGGCACCACTTCACTGTTTGGCCATGGGATGGAGAACACCTTTGCTGGGTGGCAGGACTGACCCTGCTGTAAATAGCGACATTTATAGGAATGGGCACTTCGATGCCCTGGGAATGATAGTGTGTTAGAAGGCTAAACACTACATAATGAGGTTGATTGGGAATGCCTTTCAACAGCAGTTTGCTCATTTTAGGGACTTCTTGTCACAGGGATAAACAGGAGGCAAAATCTGGGGTATTGGTTTTGTGGTTTCAAATGTCTATTTGAGTTGGAAACTGCTCAAAATGGAAATGGGCTCTTTCTGGAGGTAGCACAGACATCACTTCGAGAGGAGATCCAGAGATGATTAAGATACAGTCCTCGACCCAGGGAGCTCCAAGATTTGTAGGGGAGGCAGACGAGTCATTGAAACTGAAAAAATAAAACACCTCGCTGGCTGGGAGTTTGCTCTTGACAAGAAGAAATCAATCTCTAGACTGATTCTCTTCCTATTGCTGAGACTAGTGGGGGAGAGAGCCCTGCCTTAGAATTTGATTTGGCCCAGGGTCAAGAAAATCTCAAGGTCATGGGTCCTTGTATAGCTGAAGGTGGGATGGGGGTGGGTCAATGACTCTGCTGTTGGAGAAGGCACTGAGGTAAGGCCAGTTTTTTATGTATCAGGTCCCCAGGTGTGCTCTAGAAATTGCAGAAACAGAACGAAGCATAAGATTTGAAAACAAACAAATACACTCCACACGTTGGAAGCAGGAGAAATCTTGGCATATTATGCTGTTTTGGAGTGAGGGAGATTTTTCTCTTTCTTTATATAGATTCAGGCAGGATTGCGTCTGAGACCAGAACTACATCTGAATCATTGTAAGCCACTGGGAGGGAGATATGACTGTGCCACGTACAGGGGTCTCAGGGTGGAGAATCACTCTGAAGGGTTAAAGGTGAGGCTCTTGGAAAAGGATGAATCCTGAAGCAGGAAGCAAAGCTAGCCGCTTCAATGCACTTTTGACGGGGTTAGCACTTTTTATTTTCCTAGGATTCTGGGAATGATTCATTTAGCATTCGGTGTTAAGGTTCTTCCCTCCCCACATTTCAACTTCATATACACTTTCACTTCCATCTAAAATGTCAGAAAAGCCTGTTACATGTAACACAGCCTGTGTCACTGTATTGTGGAGAATGTAGGGACAGGGCAGCAATGGGAGAATTGGTCTGGCCTGCATCAGCTCTCTGCGGAGGTCAGCAGTGATCTTGGGATGTCAGTCAGCCCCATTCCCTGGACCTGTTTTCCCCAAATTACCAGGGAAAGGTGAGCCTTAAAAAGAAGATCATGGGCTGAGTGCAGTGGCTCACACCTGTAATCCCAGCACTTTGGGAGGCCGAGTCAGGTGGATCACCTGAGGTCAGGAGTTCAAGACCAGCCAGGGCAACATGGTGAAACCACATATCTACTAAAAATACAAAAATCAGCTGGGTGTGGCGGTGCGTGCCTGTAATCCCAGCTACTTGGGAGGCTGAGGCAGGAGAATCACTTGAACCCAGGAAGCGGAGGTTGCAGTGAGCTGAGATTATGCCACCGCACTCCAGCCTGAGTGACAGTGAGACTCTGTCTCTCAAAAAAAAAAAAAAAAAAAAAAAAAAAGAGGATGGGGAAACACTTGGGTCACATCACAAATACTCACAAAACAGGGCAAGTGCATTCTTAGAGTTTTCTAAGCAGAGAGGTTTCAACTGTTCCTCTTCACCCCCAATTCCCCTGCCCTATTTGCACTGGGCAATTGCAGCCACAATTCTGTTATCCCTGGGAGTCCCACAGAGCTATCTCAGCCACCGGCCAGCAGCTCCTCACTCCTTCTCTGCTGCTTTTGCTCCAGTAGCATTGCCCCATTCACTGCCCGTGTCAAAGGCACCCACGTTGGGCTGCCCACATCTATTGCTGCAAATACACTGCAAACTGACCTGCCTCTCCTCTGTCCCAAGTCCCTCAAGGAATTCAGCACACAGCTCCTTGGTTTGGCCCCTCCTTAGAAGCCTGCCTCTCCAGCTCTCAGGCAGGAGGCTGTGGCAACTGACATGAAAGACAATCAGGGAGACAGACACTATTAGTCCTTAGAAGAGTTCCTTTTCTTGTGCATTGACTTCCATTAAAGTTCAAACTTTAACAAAGACCATATTTTCCTTCCTATGGTCCCAAGAACCTCCATGATCTGAATCCCATCTTCTTTTCCAGCCACATCTCTCCCCACTCTCTTCACTCTCTTGTGTCTCCCTAAACCTGCCACGCTGTCTCTCACATGCTAGTCTTTGTAAATACTGCTCCCTCGCCTGGCAGACTTTTCCTTTAGCCTTGCCCACTTTCCCCTTATTTGGACTGAGTCCTACCCATCCTTCTGGCTTCAACTGTGATACCATTTTTTCTAGGAAGCTACCCCTGTCTACTCCCAATATCAGAGAAGGTTGCTCTTTTGTGCTTCCAGGGTACCCTATGCCACCATCAAAAGGATATCACTTAACACCATAATGTCTGTTGACTTTTCATCTCTCCTGTCAGACTGTGTGTTCCTTGAGAGCAGGAACTATATCTTATACTGATTTAAAAAAAATTTTTTTAGAGACAGGGTCTTGCTCTGTCACCCAGGGGGAGTGCAGTGGCACAATAATAGCTCACTCCTGGGCCCAAGTGATCCTCTGGGCTCAGCCTCCTGAGAGCTACCCTTCCTTCCTTCCTTCCTTCCTTCCTTCCTTCCTTCCTTCCTTCCTTCCTTTCCTTCTTCTTTTCATAAGCAGAGTCTTGCTATGTTGCTTAGGTTGGTCTTCAACTCTCGACCTCAAGTGATCCTCCCACCTCTGCCTACCAAAGCGCTGGGATTACAGATGTTAGTCACCACGCCTGACTGGTTTTATTTGTCATTTTGTTGCAAGGGAACAAGAGGTGCTAATCGATTGTTGAACGGATGGTGACACATTGCCTGGGACCAAACTTGTATGCCTTGAGTCTCTTCTTTTAAGATAAGTTTTTCTCCAAGAGGGAACGTGTCCCCCATTGCACTTAGGTTCCTGATAGACTTAACTCACTGGTCCTCTGACCTGAGTTTTAGAGACTCCTCCTATATATGGATCTATTAGAGATAGGAAAAAAACAAAGGTTTTTGTTGTTGTTGTTGTTGTTGTTTGTTTGTTTGTTTTGGGTTTTTGTTGTTGTTGTTGTTTTGTTTTTTTGAGACAGGGTCTCACTTTGTCACCCAGGCTGGAGTGTAGTATTGAAACCATGGCTCACTATATCCTCAACCTCCAGGGTTCAACGATCCTCCCACCTCAGTCAGCCAAGTAGCTGAGGCTACAGGCATGCACCACCACACATGGCTAATTTTTGTATTTTTTATAGAGACAGGGTTTTGCCATGTTGCTTAGGCTGGTCTCAAACTCCTGAGCTCAAGCGATCTGCCCACCTCAGCCTCCCAAAGTGTTGGGATTATAGGTGTGAGCTACCATGCCCGGCCAACCAAAGTGTTTTTTCCTACTCCCACCCACCACAACACTTCTGACACCAGATGTATGGGTTTTTTCCCCACATACCAAGCAATTCTGACACCAAATTATCCATCAGACACCAACTGGATGCCTTATAATTTAATTCAATTCAATTCCAACGCTGTCTGCCTGGGCACAGCATCAGATCCCACAGGTTCAGGGCTCAGTCTCAGAAGACTGCCCTCTACCTCCAATGCCAGTTATGAATCCTACATTGTGACCTGTGCTTCTGACCAACCGGCTATAAATCAAGGTTCCTAGGACTCTCTCCTTGGGTTAGATTAATTTGCTAGGGTGGTTCACAAAACTAAGGGAAACACTTTCCTTACATGTATTGGTTTAATAATAAAGGGTACAGATGAGCAGTCAGATGGAAGAGACACACAGGGTGAAGCACACGGGAAGGGGCGCGGAGCTCTGTGCTCTCTCCAGCACTCCACCCCCCAGGCATCTCCATAGGTTCAGCTACCCAGAACCAGCTTCTGAACCCAGTCCTTTTGGGTTTTTATGGAGGCTTCATTATGGAGGCATGAGTGATCAAATCATTGGCCATTCATGACCAACTTAACCTTCAGTTCATCTCCCTTTCCTGGAGGCTGGGGGGATGGGACTGAAAGTTCTAACTCTAGAATCCTGCCTTGGTCTTTCTGGTGACCTGTCCCCATTCTGAAGCTATCTAGTGGCCCCCAGTCACCAGTCATCTCAAATAGCATACAAAAGACACTCTTACCACCCAGGAGATTCCAAGGTTTTAGGAACTGTGTGCCAGGAACCAGGGCAGAGACAAAATATAAATTTTTTATTATATCACTATATCACAGCATCTGATAGGGATGCGCCACCACAATGCTTCCCAAACTTTAATTTGGGTAGGAATCACCTGGGATCCTGTTGAAATGCAGATTCTGGCTCAGTAGTTGGGACGGAGCCTGAGATGCTGATACTGCTGGTTGGGGACTCACACCTTGAATGGTCAGACACAAAAGTAATTGTCTTGTGCAGTCTCTTTAAACTGATTCCAGAATCCTAACATAAAAGAACTGGGAAAAGTTGAAAATAATGGAGGAAACTTATTATTATTATTATTATTTTTGTGGCAGAGTCTCGCTCTGTCGCCCAGGCTGGAGTGCAGTAGCCGGATCTCAGCTCACTGCAAGCTCCGCCTCCCGGGTTTACGCCATTCTCCTGCCTCAGCCTCCCGAGTAGCTGGGACTACAGGCGCCTGCCACCTCTCCCGGCTAGTTTTTTGTATTTTTTAGTAGAGACGGGGTTTGACCGTGTTAGCCAGGATGATCTCAATCTCCTGACCTTGTGATCCCCCCGACTCGGCCTCCCAAAGTGCTGGGATTACAGGCTTGAGCCACCGCGCCCGGCCAACTTTCTAGGAGTTTTTTTTTTTTTTATAACGTTTGGTTTTATTAAGAACAGAAGTTTCGGTGGAGCGCGGTGGCTCACACCTGTAAACCCAGCACTTTGGGAGGATCACATGAGCCCAGGAGTTCTGAACCAGCCTGGGCAACATGGTGAAACCCCATCTCTATAAAAAATACAAAAAAAAAATTAGCCAGGTGTAGTGGCACGGGCCTGTAGTCCCGGCTACTCTGGAGGCTGAGGTGGGAGGTTCGTAAGCCGGGGAGGTGGAGGTTGCAGTGATCCACCACACTCCAGTCTGGGTAATAGAGTGAGACCCTGTTTCAAAACAAACAAACAAAACAACACAACATAAGTTTTCCTTTTTAAGTGCATGTGACCACCACTGTAGGTTGGCTCTGCTTACTCCTATGACCAATCCTCTTCTCCCTTGTCTGTCTGACACAGAGGCTGCTAAGGCTCCAGTGCCCACTTTCTCAGCCTCCCTTGCTGCTCAGGATGAAATACGTAGAGCTGGAGAAGAGACATGGTTAGTCCTTGTGTCCTGCCTTAAATGATAATATGATGGCCATTATCTGGATTCTTCATGGATATTCAGCAGTTCCAAGGTGCCAGGCCAGTGTCTGGGATTCTCTTAGCCTTTCACTTTTTCCCCTGGGAGTCAGACAGCTGCTGCAGCTCGGTCAAAACAAACCTCTCTGAATACCACCAAAAATCGGGTCAGTTTCACATCTCCTTGATCATAATTTTTTCTGCACTTGGTTTGTTTGAATCAGCATTATATTACATTTTTGGTCATTTTAAACAATATTGAACATCTTAAACTCTAGACTTTTTTGTTTTTTCTGAGACCGAGTTTCACTCTTGTTGCCCAGGTTGGAGCATGATGGCCTGATCTCGGCTCACTGCAAACTCCGCCTCTCAGGTTCAAGCGATTCTCCTGCCTCAGCCTCCTGAGTAGCTGGGATTACAGGTATGCGCCACTATACCTGGCTAATTTTGAATTTTTAGTAGAGACGCAGTTTCTCCATGTTGGTCAGGCTGGTCTCGAACTTCTGACCTCAGGTGATCCGCCCACCTAGGCCTCCCCAAGTGCTGGAATTACAGGTGTGAGCCACAGCACCCAGCCCTAGACTTCTTTTTATGAGATAAAACTAGATCCCTGTTTAAGCCAGCGTTACTAGAGTTTTATGATCTTTGCATTCAAACTGTAATACAGTATGCAGTTTTTCAAAAATTTCTTCTTCTTTTTTTGTTTTACAGGCAGGGTCTTGCTATGTTGTTCAGGCTGGTCTCAAACCCCTGGCCTAAAGCGATCCTCCCACCTCAGCCTCCCAAAGTGCTGGGATTACAAGCATGTGCCACCACATCCAGACAGAATGCAATTTTTAAAAATTAATGTTTATATTCTCTCATTAGCAAACTGATATACACGGCTTACAGAAATCTTTAAAAATATTTAAAAAGTAGAAATGGGGGAAAAATTAGAGCCCCAGTCACCAAAGTACTCTTAATATTTTGACATATTTTCTTCCACTGTTGTGCAGTTGTGATAATATGGTACAACAAATTTGTGTCCTTTTTTGTTTACCATTAAAATAAGCATCTTAAGGATTTCTTTTTGGAATGATGAAAATATTCTAAAATTTATTGTGGGAATGATTGCATAACTCTATGAATATACTAAAAATAATTGAATTGTAACTCTCAGTAGGTGAATTGTATGGCATATAAATTATTTATCTCTCTATATATACATATGTTTTAAGAGACAGGGCCCAGGCTGGAGTTAAGTAGTGTGATCACAGCTCACTGCATCCTTGGACTCCTGGACTCAAGCAATTCCACAATAAAGCTATTAAAAAAATTTTTTTTTAAATAAGCATTTTCAGGCTGGGCATGGTGGCTTATGCTGTAATCCCAGAACTTTGGGAGGCTGAGGCGGGTGGATCACGAGCCTAGGCTGTTGCCCAGGCTGGAGTGCAGTGGCACGATCTCTGCTCACTGCAACCTCTGCCTCCTGGGTTCAAGTGATTCTCCTGCCTCAGCCTCCGAGTAGCTGGGACTACAGGCGTGTGCCACCATACCCAGCTAATTTTTTGTATTTTTAGTAGAGGCAGGGTTTTACCATGTTGGCCAGGCCGGTCTCGAACTCTCGACCTCAAGTGATCCACCCACCTCGGCCTCCCAAAGTGCTGGGATTACAGGCTTGAGCCACCATGCCCAGCCTCTGGTGCTTTTTTGTACCTAGAATTAGCTCCTCCAATATTGTGCCAAAGTGTAACATTGCTTAAGCATTTATTGAGTACTTGCTACAAGTCAGGTGTGGACCACACTAAGTACATTACGCACATTATTTCCTCAAATTCTTAATCACCCTAAGAGGCCTATTCTACCCTTGAAAGTTGAAACTGAAAATCAGGGAGGACAACTAACTCACCCAAGGTCACAGGGCCGATAAAGAGAGAAGCCGGGTGCCTACACAGGTCTGCCTGGTCCCTGAGGCCATAGTTATTACATTTCTTTGTCAGATAGTAATTTTTTAGAAACTTGCTAAGTTTCAAAGGCAAAAATGCTATCCTCTTCTAAATTGTTTCCATGGTGTTGGACATTTCTTTGTGTTTGCTAAACTAGACACATTTCTCTGCTGTAAATTAGCTATTTCCCAGAGCTGGCTATACAATTGGAAGAGTGAATAAAATGCGACCTATGGCTTGTCACCAGAGTTAGAAAGAAAAATGTCAGACAGTTTCCTTGTTTGACACCTGCTCAAATATGAAAGCACCTTTAATGAGAGCTGACATGACTTGGGGGATTTCCTAACCATCGTGCTCTTAACACAGGTGCCTCGTTCTCCCATTGGTTCCTTCCACCTGGCTGAGCCCAGATACCAATCTGTGACAGCAGCACAGTGCAAGGGAAGGCTCCCTGCAAGGGAGGGCTGCGGGCTAGGCTTGCCCTTCAGGGTACTTTTTTGGTTCTTTCCTGAAGCAGGAGGCCTCGCTTGGAGTATTGCTTTGCTCCTAAATTACTTAACCAAACAGCGACTTATTTTCCACAGTTATGTAGACAAACACCACGATGATGAAAATACCAAGCACAGCAAGCTTCAAGCCCACTGGGAAACCTTCTTCTTTCCAGCTCTCAATAGTCTGGTCTTCTGCGCAGTAGCCTCTCTTTTTGGTGATAGTCCCATATGTGATTCTGGTGCTTGGTGCTTTTGCAGCCCACCTGTGAAAACATCAGCGGCTCTTAGGATTGGACAGCTCCGGTGTACCTGAGCACCCCCTTAACGTATGTCTTGAAGCCCAAGGGTGCAGTCATGGTGGGGATTTAGAGATAGCCTCTCCTCACTAAAAACATATGCTAGTTTCTTCTTCCTTTTTTTTTTTTTTTTTTTTAATTGAGGCAGGGTCTTATTCTGTTGTCAGGCTGGAGTGCAGTGGTACAATCACAGCTCACTGCAGCCTCAACCTCCTGGGCTCAAGACATCCTCCCACCTCAGCCTCTTGAGTAGCTTGGACCACAGGTACATGCCACCACACCCAGCTAATTAAAAAAAAAAAATGTAGGCCAGGTGCAGTGGTTCACACCTGTAATTCCAGCACTTTGGGAGGCCAAGGCAGGCAGACTACTTGAGCCCCGGAGTTTGAAATCCTGTCTCTACAAAAAATATAAAAGTTAGCTGAGAACGAGCCGGGCGCGGTGCCTCACGCCTGTAATCCCAGAATTTTGGGAGGCCAAGGCGGGTGAATCACGAGGTCAGGAGTTCGAGACCAGCTTGGCCAACATGGTGAAACCCCGACTCTACTAAAAACACAAAAATTAGCCAGGTGTGGTGGCGCACGGCTATAATCCCAGCTACTCAGGAGGCTGAGGCAGGAGAATCACTGGAACCCAGGAGGCGGATGTTGCGGTGAGCTGAGACTGTGCCACTGCACTCCAGCCTGGACAACAAGAGTGAAACTCCATCTGAAAAAAAAAAAAAATTAGCTGGGCATGGAGGCTGAGATGGGAGAATCAGTCGAGCCCAGGAGTTCGAGGCTGCAATGAGCTATGACTGTGCCACTGCACTCCAGCCTGGTAACAGAATGAGACCCTGCTTCCAAAAAAATTAAAAAATAATTTTTTTTTCTAGAGATACGGTCTCACCATGTTGCCCAGGCTGGTCTCGAACTCCTGGGCTCAGGGGATCCTCCCACCTCAGCCTCCCAAAGTGCTGGGATTATGGCTTGAGCCACTGTGCCCAGTCTCTAATTTCAACAAGTGATATTAACAGCGTATTGGGGGATGTGAGGTCTCTCTAATCCCACAAAGCATTTCTTCGTTGTTTCTGCCCACTTGTGTAGCACTTCTCAATGCCGGCATAAAGCCTGACTTGGCACAGGCCTTTCAGATCCCCAGGTCCCCACTGGGAAATTGTGTAAGTGGATGGGAAGCCTCAGTACTCAGGCCCTCTCGTTCCTCCCTTCTTAGGTACAAACACCACCTTTCAGGGTGGAGACGAAAAGCGCCTTTGCAATCTGCTTATTTTGCACTTAAAAGGGCAAGAGCACTTTCTGAAATTTTTTAGCATGAGCCTTATGTTTCCACTAGTCTAATTCTGCAAAACCTTCTGAAGTTTATTCAGAAGTTAGGAAACTCTCCAGAAAGCTTTACTTTCTGACTAATACAATTGCCTGTCTTGAGCTTTTAGTTGAACTACCTACTCTTTTTATTCCTTTTTAAAAATTGATACATAATAGATTTACATATTTTGGGGTATATGTAATTTTATATTACATATATATTTTTTGAGACAGGGTCTAACTCTGTTGCCCAGGCTGGAATGCTCACTGCATTGCAGCCTTGAACTCCTGGGCTCAACTAATCCTTCTGCATCAGCCTCCCAGGTAACTGGGACTGTAGCCACATACCACCATGCCTGGCTAATTTTTAAATTTTTCTGTAGAGACAGGGTCTCACTATTTTGCTTAGGCTGATCTCAAACTCCTGGCCTCAAGTGATCCTTCTACCTCAGCCTCCCAAAGTGCTGGGATTACAGGCATGAGCCACCGTGCCTAGCCAACATGTGCTATTCTGATACCTTCATATAATGTGTAAAGATCAAATCAGGGCAACTGGGATATCCACCACCTTAAATATTTATCTTCTTTTTATGCTAGGAATGTTTAAATTATTCTCTTCTAGCTATTTTGAAGTGTTCAATGGATTATTGTTAACTAAAGCCACTCTACTGACCTATTGAACCCTAGGTCTTATTTCTCCTATTTAACCGTATATTTATATCCTTTCTATTTTTTTATTTATTTTTTTGAGGTGGAGTCTCGCTCTGTTACCCAGGCTGGAGTGCAGTGGCACCATCTCGGCTCACAGCAACCTCCGCCCCCCTGGTTCAAGCAATTCCCTTGCCTCAGCCTCCCAAGTAGCTGGGATTACAGGTGCATGCCACCATGTCTGGCTAATTTTTTTGTATTTTTGGTACAGATGGGGTTTCACCATGTTGGCCAGACTGGTCTCGATCTCCTGACCTCAGGCAGTCCACCTGCCTCAACCCCGTAACATACTGGGATTACAGGCAAGAGCCACCGCGCCCGCCCTTATATCCTTTTAAATATATATATATATATATATTTTTTTTTGCCTCTTGTCCATCTTCCAGGACGCAAATAGAAAGAAATGTTTCCAAATGGCTACATGTCAGGAGACTTGGGTTGTGATCTTAGTCCACTGTGACTTTTGCCCTGTCCTCCCAGTTCTCCTGGGCCTACTTTCTTATCTCTAAATATGAGCAATGAACTAGAAACTTTGGCTTTGAAATTGTTGGATATTACAAATCTTTCTCCTTTCTCAACAGATTATTTTCAGGCTAAACCCTTCACATAAATCTGAACAATGAGTTTTTCCAGAGTTACAGGATGCAATATCAATTTCCACATATGCTAAAAAACATCATTACCTTCTTCCCTTGGAAGGCTTATAATCCAAGCAATAGGTATCTACAGCTTTGGGTTTAGTGGTGGAAGCCTCAGGCCACTGATAAACAGAAAGAAAATGTCAAGAGGAATTTGTTTCCAATGTCTTGTACAAATAACCTCAGTTTTTATTCTAGAAAAAGTCAGTTCAGTTTTCTTATTTAGAAAAAGTCTAGATAAAGTAGTTTGATACTTTATAATACAAACTTGTTTGTCTTTATTCAAGAATTAGCAAAAACATCCAGGTTCCATGGAGTAATATTTTGCTTCAGTGACTCGCATGAGAACAATACACATACAAGGGACTAGGGCCACGTGATGAGAACAGCACTCTGTTCTTAAATATCAGCTCTATTTTGCTTCTTTATTTGTACTTTATTGCTTGGGGCTCTTTTTTATGAGCATGCATCATTTTCTACAAAGAACAAAGTAATTTTAACAAAACAAGTTGACTATGAACAAGGACTAGAAAATAATTTAGGAAAATGAAATGTTACTTTGTAAAAGAATTAGGAGCAATTGTAGAGGACTCCCAGGAATGTGAAGATGGGATATCAGATGATGTTGCTAATTCTATTGATCAAGCACTAAGCTCCATTTACCCATTAACTCACTGAGGCCTTCCAGTGAGCGCCACCTGCGAGGGAACACTCCACCCCTATCTAGTAAGCACTATTCTGTTTTGGAAATGAGTCTGAGACAGAAAGGTTAAGTAACTTGCTAGAGGCTACACAGTATTATTATCAGTGCTTGGACCACTGCACTAGACTTCTCTCTACCCTTCAGTTTCTAAAAATAATTTCCCCCTGTAGGAAATCTTTATTACCCTCATCCACTTAGATCACTCTTCTATGCTATATTTCTTCAGCCCTAATATATACATTTTATACTGTAGTGTTTTGTTTGTTTGTTTGTTTTTGGAGACAGAGTCACCCAGGCTGGAGTGCAGTGGCACGATCTTGGCTCACTGTAACCTCTGCCTCCTGGGTTCAAGCAATTCTCCTGCCTCAGCCTTCTGAGTAGCAGAGATTACAGGCACGCTCCACCACACCTGGCTAATTTTTGTGTAATATTTTTAGTAGAGACAGTGTTTTGTCCTGTTGGGTAGGCTGGTCTCGAACTCTTGGACTCAAGCAATCTACCCGCCTCAGCCTCCCAAAGTGCTGGGATTACAGGTGTGAGCCATTGTGCCCAGCCCTTATGTTTTATTTATTCATCTAACAAACAATTGTTGCATGCTGCTCAGTGCCAGGCCTGACGCCGGCTGTGAAGATTTCAGAAGGGCTTGCCAAACCGTCCCTGTCCAAAACAGCTCACTACCAAGCATGGCTATTTTGTAAGTGTTCTGCACTGGCTTCCTTCTTCCCTAATCAGACCATCTGTTGGATCTCATGGAGCTGTCTCCTATTTCTCTTTAATCAAGCCACAGCATCTAACATTTGGGGCTCCTGGTAACTTGCCATCTACTCCCCTGCTGGAAGCCCAGGACCCTTGAACATAAGAGGCGCCTTCTGACACCTGCCGTGCTGTCAGAGCCTGTAGCCTGCAGTGAGTCAGGAACTGGAGAATTCCCAGGAGTGGGAGAAGGAGCTGGGACTAGCGTCAGACAGGGAAAGAACTGACCGAGACCAGGACAGAACCACAAGCACAAGGAAAGTCAAGAGGAGAGTAATGACCTCAATCCCAAGGTAGCCTGGACTGGAGTGTTTGGAGGGTCCGACAGAAGAGGGGCATTTGTGTTCATCACGGAGCTACCAGGAGAAAGGAGAGCCTGGGTCTTAGCAAGGATGTGGTCAGGACACAACCATAAAGTGGACCCCTCCAGTGAGTGTGGACTATGACCTACGGCAGGCCCAAGGGTCCCAGCCCAGGGTGGGTTGGGGAGGGCATGGCTTGCTGTAGCATCACGCACTGCTAGTCACCCTCTACCCAGTACAGGTCACCAATGATGGAACAGCTACAGCCTCCTCCGCTTCCCCTGTACTCCCTGTGCCCCCTTCTTAAACACGTTCTCAACAGTGGTTTAGTGATACCCAAGCAAAACTCTTGCATATGTGGGAAGTTGTGCACCGTGCAAGAGAGCCACATGCAAGGAGCACCTTTTCCCATGTAGACACTGTAGATTTACATACCCTTACCACATACCCTTCCAGGAACAGGGAAGCAAAAGCTCTTGAGGAAGAGATACTTTGAAATTTCCCACAAAGGTGCCATGTGGGCTAGTGTTGGCATGTTCATCAAGAGATATTTCAAGCTATTTCCAAGCGTATTGGAAAAATCATTTATAAGCAGATTCTTTTTTAAGCTTTTTACTTATGGAAAATTTTAAACATATACAAAAATAGACAATAGTATAATGAACCTCCACATACCCATCACATGCAACTTCTTTTTAATTCTCTTAAATTTAAAAATACATACATGAAATAAAGCATTTGGGGTAGAAATGCATTGCAAAATCAAATGACAGAATTTTACAGCCCCTAAGCAATCAAATACTCCCCTTGTGCCATAAGGAGATTTCGGTCTTTGATTTCCTTTTCTTTTACAATTCGTTTTCTTTGCTATCAATCATATGTAAAGTTCTCCTGCAGTATGTAGAAGGTGGACATTGTCATTTTCAAAAATGGAGTAATTATGGCCTATCTACCTGATTGTGCAGCTATCAATAATTACTATTATAAAGACCATATAACAGGGAAAAATGTTATCGATTAGTATTAATAAATAGGGTATAATTGTACATAAACAGTGATGTCTACTGTGTAAACATATACTAGATATGCATGTAAACAAAAACTAGAGGTAAATTGAAAAAATAAAATCAGTTTTTGCATCAAGTGGTGCGTTTATAGTTGATTTATATTTCATCTTCTAAAAAATTCCATTAACGCTGTTATAATATGATTTTCACTAAAAACAACATTTACAGTGGAGCTAAAAAATATTGGTGTTTATTAAAGCAGTGGCTCAGTGAGGGTAAATGGCACCCAGGAGACACATAATATCTTTGCTCTCTTCTCCTTAGGCCCAGAGCTAGAATCTGCAAAGATGGCTGTTTTAGCAAAGCATTCGGAGCCCAGAGCTGGGGAATACGTGGCCCCATCTGCTTTTCCACCCTCTTCGCTATACCCTTGGCATTCAAGTCCGAAAATTCCACCACACTCCCAAGGCCTGAAGCGTATTGCTGGCCACAGCTGTAGTTAGTTATAAAAGTAGTAAGTCAGAGATATGCCAATACAACAAACTGTGACTGTCTCAGTACCATACTAGCTACCACGTACATGGCATTCCCTGCGCACCAGGCACCATTCTAAGCATTTTATATCAATAAACTAAATTCATTCTCAAAACCACCCTATGAGAAAGGTGCTTTTATTATGCCCATTTTACAGATGAGAGCCCTGAGGCGTAGAGCGTTTAAGTAGCTTTCCCACACTCACACAGCTTGTGAGGCGGTGGAGCCCCACAGTCCCTGCCCATAATCACCACATGGTACTGCAGCATGATAGTGGAGGGAATTAGAAATACCATGTTCTGACATCTATTATCTTGGGCATTTCACATACTTCAATTTACTTAATCTTTCTTTCTTTTTTTTTTTTTTTTTTGTGACAGAGTCTTGCTCTGTTGCCAGGATGGAGTGCAGTAGCGTGATCTCGGCTCACTGCAATCTCCGCCTCCCCAGTTCAAGTGATTTTCCTGCCTCAGCCTCCTGAGTAGCTGGGATTACAGGCGTGAGCCACAACACCCAGATAATTTTTTTTGTATTTTTAGTAGAGACGGAGTTTCACCAGGATGGCCTTGATCTCCTGACCTTGTGATCTACCTGCCTCGGCCTCCCAAAGTGTTGGGATTACAAGTGTAAGCCACTGCGCTCGGCCAATTCACTTAATCTTTCTAACAACTCTAGGACGTAATTATTACAGTCAACATTTTACAGAAGAGGAAGTAGAGGCTTAGGGAGCTAAATTGTTTGCCCTAGATAACACAATTCATAAAAGGCATAGCTATAATTTAAACCCAGATATTCTGGCTCCAATGCTTTAAAAAATATATTTATATTATTATAGAAGAACTCATCATTGAAAATATGTCAAAACATGTGTTTAAAAACTGTTCATTAATTAATACATTATCAAAATCATTAATTTCCTATGGAAGTAACATTTTTAGCCAGTAGTTCCATTCTTAATTATTTCAGATGAACTGGCGTTTTCATAAAAGTTTTTTTTCCAGGGGGACTATTTTGTGCTAATTCTGGCCTACTTAGGTATATCATAGTCAATCTGAAATAATATTGCATATGATATTTTATGTCATATTGTATCACATTATAGTTAACAACAAAACACTGGGCTAACATCTAGAGCCAGAAAGAACAATAATCATTTTGTATTCTCATTAAAATCATCAAAAAGTTGTTTTTTTTTTTTTTTTTTTTTGAGATGGAGTCTTGCTCTACCACCTAGGCTGGAGTGCAGTGGCACAATCTCGGCTCACTGCAACCTCCACCCAGGTTCAAGCAATTCTCCTGCCTCAGCCTCCTGAGTAGCTGAGATTACAGGCACACGCCACCATGCCTGGCTAATTTTTGTATTTTTAGTAGAGATGGGGATTCACTATGTTGGCCAGGCTGGTCTTGAACTCCTGACCTTAAGTGATCCGCCTGCCTCAGCCTCCCAAAGTGCTGGGATTAAGGGCATGAGCCACCATGCCCAGCCTACATTTGTTTTTTTAAAAAATAATCTATCTTGACTAAAGCCATCACTAACCGTCCATAAAGAAATACAAGTTTGTTTGCATTTCCACAAGACACGTATTTACCATGTAGGCTTGAAGCTGGCCAAAATTTCACGGGCTGACACCTACAATTAAGGGAAGTCAAGAAAAGGGTGCTGAGAGCCCAGTTTCCTACCCTTTATTTCTCTTATTCTCCCAATACTCCTTACCGCTGGACTTGGAGAAGTCAGAAGGCAGGGATGTCCCTGAAGCTTGGGGATGGCATTCTGTCCAAACTGAAACATAATATATTCTCCAATTGCTCTAATTCAATAATGCAATTATTTCTTAAAGGCCTATATGTAGAATTGGACACTTTTACAAATGACATAGCAAAGCGGAAATTATGACCTGCTTACAGGCAGAAAAAAAGAAAAACCTCCTTTTGACTTACAGATCTTTAAAATTGAGTTAACTCCAAATCCTCTTACTGACTAAAAATTATTAAGTTAGTAAAAGATCTATAATCATAGCAGACTTTTACTTCATTGTTTTTACCTGAATCCTGATTTGATAAAGCCTTTATTTAAAGCGTTGTGTTCTCTTAACCCAAGTAATGATTTTGAATTAGTTAAAAGGCTTTAAAAATTATCTGTACCACATTAACAAAAGAAAGGTTAAAAACCTTATGATCATCTCCATTCTCGAATTTTAAAAAATCTTCTGGCAACCAGGGGAGGTGGCTCACGCCTGTAATCCCAAAACTTTGGGAGGCTGAGGCGGGTGGATCACTTGAGATTGGGAGTTCGAGACCAGCCTGGCCAACATGGTGAAACTCCACCTCTACTAAAAATACAAAAATTAGCCGGGTATGGTGGTGTGCACCTGTAATCCCAGCTACTTGGGAGGCTGGGGCGGGAGAATCGCTTGAACCCGGGAGGTGGAGGTTGCAGTGAGCCGAGACCACACCACTGTACTCCAGCCTGGGTGACAGAGCTATAATCTGTCTCAAAAAAAAAAAAAAAAAAAAAAACTTTTAGTAAACCAGGAATAGGAACTTCCTTAACTTGACAAAAGACATCTTCAAAAACCTATACCATAAGTCATATTCAAAGGTAAAATATTAGATGTATTTCCTTTAAAATCAGGACAAAGGAAAGAATGTCCACTGTCATCATTCTCCTACACTAGTATAATGAAAAGTCTTAGCCAGCACAGTAAAACAAAAAGAAATTAAAGATATTCAAACCAGGCTACAAAATAATCTGCAGAAAAAGTATTATAATTGCAAAAAGTTTATTGTTGTAAAATCAATATGCAGAAATCAACTTCATTTCTATACACCAGCAACAATTTAAAATATGCTTTAAAAGAGGTCCTATTCCCAATGAAGCAAAAATTGAAAGCCTATCTACTAATAAAGCTAACAAAAGATTAGCATGTCCTTTACTGAGAAAATTATACAATCTTACTGAAGGACATTAAAGGAAATTTCAATAAATGTAAAGACATTAAAATACCCATTTAAATACACAGAAACACAAAGATGGAAACAAGCAGGGGATTCCGAAAGGGGGAGCAAGGAAGGCAAGGGTTGAAAACATAGTATTGGGTACTATGTTTACTACCTGGGCGATGGGATCATCAGAAGCCCAACTCTCAGCACAATATACCTGTGTAACAAACCTGCGCATGTACCCCCTGAATCTAAAATTTTAAAGTAAATAAATAAATAATCCACTAAAAAATACCGATGTCTATATGGAAACTTGATATATGACAAGAGCTGACATTGCAGCTCAGAAGAAAAAAAATGGACCATTGGAAAACGGTATTGGGAACAAATTGGAGTAGATGTACTTCTTCCAATTTATTCTGCTAAGTCCAGCCAATCCCCCTGGACATTATACGTAAAACAAGCCTATGAAGACTCTGGAAGATATAGAGAGAAGGTCGATGGGCCAGGGAGCTTGAGACTCAGGGAAGACAAGGTGGTGAGTTCCCGTGGTTTTCTTTTTACCTTATATATCCTGGACTGGAAGCTGGAGGGGCTGACAACCTGGAAACACCAAGGGATGCAGGTGAAAAAAAAGCTCCCGGAAAAGCCAAAAGACAAGGAAAAAGGCAGCCTAGTAAGACAAAAAACTTTTTGACATGAACTTCCTTGTGGCAGCCCAACAGCCCACCTCCACCCCCGCCAGCCAAGGTGCATAAGAAGCCTGGACTTTCACCCCCATGTGGCAAACCCTCCTGCTCCCCACCTGGGTGGTGTCAATGGAGGCCACATGGGAGGCCCTCCCAGCAACCCAGTAGTAAGGAGGCATCCCCCGCCTCCACACACACCCAAAGGTGTCCCCAGTGGGAGCCTGGACTTTTACCTCCACCTGGCAGTAAAGAGGCAGTGCCCCTCTTTTCCCACCAACGTACAGTCAGAGAAGGTCTGCTAAAACAAGATTTAAAAGCCACCCAGAAGGCCAGGCGTGGTGGCTCATGCCTGTAATTCCAGCACTTTGGGAGGCCAAGGCAGGTGGAGTTTGAGACCAGCCTGGTCAACATGGTGAAACCTCGTCTCTACTGAAAAAAAAAAAAAAAAAAAAAATCCCAGCTAAGAGGCAGGAGAAATCGCTTGAACCAAGAAGTGCAAGAGGTTGGCAGCAAGCCCAAGATCGTGCCACTGCCGACTCCAGCCTGGTGAACAGAGCA